TTATTTGCGTTCCAAGTTATGAACTTCTCCAACGTGATAACCCTGCTCGAACCTTCCTATTCGCCGAGAACCAATGGAACTCGTGTTTTTAAGTAAACGTGACAAGGAACACTCTGCGCGTCTTAAGTCGCGCAACAACGAGGAAAAATGTGCCGAAATTTTCAGCGAATCGCGCATAATTTGTACAGGAATTTGGGAAGACTGCGATTCCCGCTAATGGCGGTGCGCGATTGATCGACTATTAACGGGCGGCTGCCTTGGAAGATTCGCCGTGAGCCGGGCGAGGCTTTTAACGAGGGCGTCGTTCACGCGAAATCGCTGGCGAGAGCAAAAAGTGCATTGTCGTTTGAGCGGCGCGCACCTTTTTTCCATCGCGGAGCTCCCATTAGTTTTGCATCAATCCGTTCGTGTTTGGTGTGGCCAGGCGGCGGGGTCGAGGCGCGGCGGTTATCGATTCCCGGCGAGGAAAAATCATGAGCAACACGCGGCGGGAACGTTTAACATTCGTTGAACGGGATTCCTGCGCTCCGAGTCGGCTTCTCTATCCGCGCACGTGGTAATACTGGCGAAACACGTAATATGAATTTCAAATTAGAAGCGTCCCGTTCGCTAAAATTGCGCATATTGCCCGATACGTTTCAGCTACGAGCACTTAATTCGAATTTGATACCCTCCTCCCGCGAACTCTGCCCCATATATTTGCATTCCGAGCGGCGGCCCTCGCTTTAAGCGTCAACTATCAGCGGAAGATCTTCGTACTCATTGTTCCGATGTTTCGGGGCTGTGAATTATCGCGTATAATATATTCCCTGGTGGAAGACGTAACAATTATCAAACATTCCGAACGTTCTACGTTTACACTTCCGTTTATCGCGATATCAAGAGTTTCTGAATTATCAATTCAAATTAACGCTAGAACTACGATCGAATCGCTTAACGTCTTGATTCGTATCTTATAACTGCGAATCACCCGAAGTTAACGAAAATCGTTCCGTACTTCTATCGAAGTGGACATCGATCGTTTACTCTCGTTCTTCCTACCGAAAAAAAGGAACGCCAGCCGACGGCTTTGAGCAATCAAAAGTGCCTTCGCAATGTTTAACAGTTTATCCTCGAGCGTAACCTGTTGAATCGACGACATTTCATTGGCATAAACATCAATAGCATCTCGCTGCGATGTTGACGAAGTCACCGGGAATCCTTGGCATTCGTTGTAGATAGCCTTTCATTTCCTCTTGAAGCGAAGTGGCTCGATGCCGTGTTGTTTAATCGAACGGATAATACAGCTTTGAGCGGACGCCGCGCGGCGCCGTCGCGCGTTTTCCGGACGACGGCAATGCGGTTACCGGCCGCCTCAGTGCGGAACGACCGCAGCTCGAAATAAAACTAGCCGTCGCGGACCGGTGTATCGTAATTGCGGATCGATTTCGTGCATGTCCGTCCATTAGCTAACTACCGCGTTTACGTTTCTCGCCAGTCGAAACGTTCCCAGCGGCGCGACGGATGGTTCCGAAGCGAGCGTCGACAATGCGGATCGAATTTTAATTCCCCGCCGACAAATCCGTTGGGCGAATTTAATTCGGGATATGACGTTTCAATACCGCGACCCGATCCCTCGATCCCCGCGCCCGCGACGGGGATTTATCGCGGAACGGCTCTCGCTCCCCTGATTGGACACGCGTGGAGCGTCTGCGCCCGGAAATTAGAAGGCGGCTTCAAAATTAGCCCCCGGTTCATTCTTCGAGTTTAAATTCCATTAAAGCGAGGCTCCTACCCGGCGGGGCTTTCATTAACTCTGCTTTCCGCGGACCTCGTATTAAGTGTTCGAGTTTCGTTCGGTAAATCGTGTTCCAGCTTGCAGCGGCGGATGCGTCACGCGATATCGTTACCCGGCCGAAATTGCGCTAGAACAAACACGGGCCGCGCAAAAACGCGTGCTCCAATTCGTCGCAAGTTTCCGGGGACAGATTTGTTGGTTCTGTCGGCGGAGAGGACGAACAAATTTCGGGAGAGACGACTGGGGGAGCCGAAATTCAATTCCGGCGACGACGAACTTCCTAATTTTTCATCGCGCGGCATGTAATCTTTCGAGCTTCGGCGGACACTCGCCGGTGAATCGCGTCGCGCGACTATGAAATCGTTTTAGGGCGAACGGGAGTCTGAATTCTCGCGAGCTCTCTCGTGGAAGGCGCGGGGGTTACTTTTACTTTTTCAAACGGAAATATTTCATCCCCAAATGGAAGTTTCTTGGCAGTAATTCAAGGCGATCCCGGGGTCTATACACACGGAATAAAAAAGATAACCGTAAAAACTGGGGAGACGAGCGTGGTCGCGGCGGAAAACACACGACGCGGCGCCTCGTTCGGCCGAACGGTTCGTTGATGATTAACAGACCCGCCCCGGTAAATAATAATAACGTAGCGTAATCGTTTTTCCGGATTTAACAGCGCGATGGCTCCCTTATTAAAATTAATTCCTCGAAGCGCGCGCGGGCACGTACACAACGTTTTCACGGTTATCTAGTCCGACCGTGCTCGCGACTACGTGTCTCGCTGCGCTTTATAACTCGCGAGTCCTTTGGTTTATTTAAAACGCGAAGAATATCGGCGAAATAGCATTGAAATCCGTCGAAGAGGGAATTCAAGCTCTCGAATATCTGTTAAAAGTATATAGGAAAGTTACATCAAACAATTTCGCAGCTCAAAGGTGAAGTTTCGTATTGCTTTCCAATATTTTCAACAAAGAAAGACACACAATGACGGTCGAAC